AAAAAGTTGTTTTACGAACCACTCTAGGGTGGATGGTGAATGACATTTGATTGATTCAGATAAAGAATAGAGAAGAGGTACATACTTTCTTTTACTCAAAGGTAAAAAAGGTGAGGTTGGGGTGGTTGCCTTAAAAGGACAAAGAAGAGGTAAGAAGCTGAAAGGATGACAGAAATGGAAAAAAATAATTTTAGATAAGAGAAGTAAATTTAAAATTGTTTTTCTACTTAGTTATTTAGTTTCTGAACTAGTATTAATGATGTATTATTAAAGCTAAGTAAAAAATTATTTTAAAAAAAGTGTTTTTTATAAAAAATTATTTTCATTTAGAGATTAGATTACTTCGGTGCATCATTGATTATGAGCTTCTCAATTTTGTTAAGTGTTGCAAGGTATAATTGATTATGAGCTTCTCAATTTTGTTAAGTTTTATTATTATTTTTTTTTCATCTTTTCTAAAACAATAAGTTGATCTCTTAAAATATTCATAACATTTGTAACTCATAGTATATGTAAATAATAACTATTTTATATAACAATAGTATTTTTTTACAACAGCAACATCAAAAACTTACAACAGAAATATAAAAAACTAACAACAACGACATCAAAAGAGTACAACTACAATATCAATAACTAACAACGATAACATTAAAAATTTTTGTGGATAAATAAAAATTATCTTTTGTACTTAAAAATTATTTCATTGACTTTAGAAGCAACATTTTGTAAGAATCTGGCAAAAATACAAATTTTTAATAGCGACCTTTAAAATTGTTGCTTTTTTAATATGTTGTTATTTACACTAGAAGCTTTATTCCTAATTTATTTTAAAAATATTTATTAGTTTTCTAAATATTAAGTTTCAATGTTTAACTAAATTTCAATGTTTAACTAAATTTCAATGTTAAACTAAATTTCAATGTTTAACTAAATTTCAGTCAGCGAAATTTGTAGGATTTCAGGTCGGCACAAGCGTGCCGACCATAGCCGACGTCAGGTCGGCAAAAAAAAAAGGATTTTTTGCTTTCTATTATGATAGGGGTAATGATTAATTGATTGTAAAAGGATTGCTTTATAATAGCATAGCTTCAGACAATAATATTTTAAAGAATGTAGCAATTAAATTTTGTATAGTAAATTAAGTATATAGCAAATTTATGAATTAGTGATTTTTTAATTTTGAAGTTATTTTTTATTACAAAAAAAATGGTCAATAGTTTACTTATTACACTTTGATTGGTTTTTTAGATAAAGAACGTCGTTTAGAAATACAAATTTAGTTTATGTGCTGTAGGCGAAGATTTTGTTTAAAACAGCAAATTGTTTAACAAAATGAGTAGACAGTAAACATCCAGTTGTTTAACCTTTACCAGAAACTAGCATTTATTTCTCCATTAGTAGGGGTGGTGATTTTCAATATTTTATTGTAGTATAGTATGAACATGTAACTATATGTAAATTGATGGAGGGAAAACAAAAGTTAAAAATACTAAAAATAGTTTTTTTTCTTATATATAAACATTGTTTTGAGTTAGCTTACTGTATTACTGTTGTGTCTGTTGCAATTTAATGGAAGCCTAAACTTTTATCAAATTTAAAAAAAGTTTTGTAACTAATGTTTCTTCTCTGCATGTTTCTAACATAACTATAACAAGGCTAAACTTTCCTAATACTTTCCTAAAACTTCCAAGGCTAAACTTTCCTAATACTTTCCTAAAACTTTCTGATCTTAAATAATTCTAAAAAACCCGTAAACACGTAAACATAATTAGTTACATAGTTTTAAGTCAAAAAAAAAAAAAATTAAAGTTAGATTTTATATCTTAATAAAATAATAATTGCACTTAAAAAGCGTGAGAACAACAGGCATTTAAAAAGTAATATTTTTTAACTTTGCTATGTTTGAATAAATTTGAGAAAAAAAGAAAAAATGAATTGAAAAAAAATGAATGAATATTTTTTTAATATGTCAAACTTGAAAAGCAAGTAATTACAATAAAAAAATTATAAAATAATATTTAACGAATATTAGATATTTTTTACATGTATTTCAATTTGCATGCCGACACTTTAGAATATTCAGATCGGCAGTTGTATGCCGTCCTAAAGCAAAGATAGGTCAGCTTTTGCGTCGGCATCGCTGAATGCCAACCTGAATTTCGCTGACTGAAATTTCAATGTTTAACTAAATTTCAATGTTTAACTAAACTTCAATGTTTCTAAATTTCAATGTTAAACTAAATTTCAATGTTTAGCTAAATTTCAATGTTTGACTAAATTTCAATGTTTGACTAAATTTTTTAAAATAGTTAGAAGCATTTTTTAACTTGAAAATGAAACAAATAAAACAAGTAAAAATAAAACTTTATACTTTTTTTAATGGGTATTTCACTTGGTTATTGTTTATTAACTATAAATACAATATACAATAAATTCAAAACTAAAATATAATAAAGTAGGTATAGTAAACATTTTGGCCTATCTAAATATCATGCTTCAAAAGTATGCAAAATTGATTCTGCTTTGAATAGCGCTGATTCTTACAGATAGTTGCTTTACTTGAAATATGTTCTAATTGTTTTTGTTGTTATTTAGATTTTCTGGAATTCATCACAAATTGTGAGTTTTAATTATAACTATTCAAAATTGTTATTTATAAAGTTTAAATATTAATGATAAAAATAGTAATAGTAATAATAATAATAATAATAATAATAATAATAATAATAATAATAATAATAATAATAATAATAGTAATAATCTTGTTTGCTAAAATTAGAACATACACATCAGGATTGGTTCTACTTCTTATTTTGTTTTATCATACATACACTATGAACTTCATAGAGTTTGATTATAGCCATAATATGAGGGTAATGATAATTCTTGGTAAGTCTTTTATATATTATTGTATATATGTGTATATATATATATATATATATATATATATATATATATATATATATATATATATATATATATATATATATATATATATATATATAGACGCACACACACGTATTCATTTGCAAAAAAGTTTGTTTTTTAAATGGCTATTTGTAAAGTTTTTTTATGTATTTAATAGCTAATGATTGCCGTGTATGGCAAGAAATTTTATGTACTATCATCAATGTTGTTTTTTATTTAAACAAAATTTAAATATTTATTGCTCTATTGTAATATTGAGCATTGTTTTATGTTCATGAGTTTTTGTATTATTTTTATATAATATAATACATAAACAATAAATATATATATATTTACATATTTATATATATACACTTCTATAAAAGTTTTGAGAGTATGGAATGTAAAAAAATATTTGTTTGATAAATATTTATTTGAACAAAATTTGTTAATTAATAGTTTAGAATGTAACGCATAAAGATTATGTCATCTTAATAAAACGTCAACACAAATTGTTTGATAAGAAATTATTAATTACTGTGACTATCCAACTTATTTGTGTTTTGTTATAACCAAAGTCATTAAATTAATTGTGAATTCATATATAATTAATTGATTTTTAAATCACCTAAAGGTTTCCTCTAGAGGTATGTTTTCAAACTTTTAACATCATATGAAACAATAAGTTTATTTATATTAATTTGCTTCAACTCTTCAAAAAATGAAAATGAGTTCAAAGTGCAAAATTGTTTAGGTATATGTGGAGACAATAAATGAGAAAGATGTTTGTCAAGGTTGTAGTTGTATGTCCCACTTGTTGATGTTATTGGTTGAAAAGTTGAAAGAGAATAATCTTTACTAAGTTTGTGCATTTTAGTTAACATAATTGTTTGCTGCTTGAGATCCTACAGGATAGATTTTTTTGTAAATATCTTTTTCAAAACATTTAAGCTATTAACTTTTCTATAATACCCTTGTAAAGATAGTTTTCTTCAAACAAAGATGCCCTTGTAAAGATAGTTCTCTTCAAACAAAGATGCCCTTGTAAAGATAGTTCTCTTCAAATAAAGAGACCTCTTTTTATAGTAGGATCCTCTTTATAAATTAAAAAAAAAAAGAAGTGATTCACAAATGGGAAAATCCATCACTTAAACAAATTTTCAATTATACCATTTACTTATCTATTTAATTAAAATGGCAGTTTATTTTATTTTGATTATATTGATTGGTTATTTATTGAGTCATTTTTAAATTCTTTTATTGGTTTATTTTGTATATTTTTGTCCATAAGTATTATCTGTGTAAAGTCTTCTATTTTTAAATAATTATTGCAGAGTTTTTTCATTGTAAAATTAATCTTTTGAAAATATAATACAAAATTACAAAACATATCAAGATTTAAAAATTATGTGTTATTTTTTAAAATAATAACTTACTTTTTTCTTTTAAGAAATTAAGCAGAATATATACCTTTTTCCATAAAAAAAACATTATTAGCTGTAAAAAACGTAAAAAAAAAAGAAAGGAAAAAGTTCCTCAATTTTTAATTTAGGCTGCACCCAAATATCTAAAATAGTTTAAAATAGCCACTGATATATATCACGGCTGTTTCAAACCGAGCCTTACTGCTTCTTGTTATTTTTTGAAAATATTGGCTGAAGGGGTGTTACTAAAACATAACTTTTAAAATTTTAAAGATAATTTTATTTTGTAAAAAGAATCAAAAAAACCGATAAAATGTTTCATCTTTTAATGCATTAGTAAAATTTGCAATCTTGTAAGTTGTCTCTCAATCGTTATTTTGCTTTATAAACTTCATCTTTTTTCTTTCAGTAACTTCCAGCTCTAATAGTGCAGCCTTGTTGGAAGAAAAGATGTTTAAAAAAAAAAATAAATAAAGCCAGATTTCGATTTTGGAATATTTAGCCTAATGTTAAAGCTCAACTATTTAAAAAACTTTTTATACATTTTGTTTTATACAATTCTAATAATAAATGTTAATAAATAAAGTCTAATAAAATAACTCATGACCAAAATTGAGTTAGTTTTTGAATTAACCTTGCTTTTGGTAGTAGAATTATTTTATGGCATTTGAATCAATAATTTCTGCTCACAAATAAAACATTTGTTTAAATATACAAATATACAAACAAATAATAAAATTTGAATCATTTGATAATTTGTTTTTATTATCATAAAAAACTGTTTTATAATCAGTTGGTCCACTAATAAGTTCTTTAAGTAGTAAACTATCTTTGTACACCCAGTTGATACTGGAATCATACTTTATTCTAAACCAGAAGAAAAATTGCTCAACTCAAATCAATTGTGACAATAACTTTTACAAATTCTTAATTTAAACTAATTTTTTACACCAACTTGATATATATATATGAGTCTTAAATTCCATTCTTTAACCAGAGAGAACCCTTTTTTAACAACTTATATTAGTTTGATAATCCAAAGAGAAAAATTCTGCGTAACTTTGTTTACTTTATTCTTTAAAATTTGACTCACAAAAACAGTTATTTGAACAAAATTTGTTAATTAATAGTTTAGAATGTAACGCATAAAGGTTATGTCATCTTAATAAAGCGTCAACACAAATGTACGCCTAAAACTAACAAGATTTGTTGTAAAACATGACATTTTGAAAAACATAATTGATAACATAGCTAAAGGTACATTAAATAATTTTTTTATTTTCATTCGCATATAAGGTTGAAATTTCAATAACTTATGTCATCCATCAAAAATATTACATTTTGCATTTTAAAATTATGAATTAAAAAATATAAATACTTTAAAAACTTTTTGTAGAAAAATTACCAAGATGACTTAGAAATCAGATAGGATGGACATTCATGGCTAAGTGTTCCAAATTTCAACTACCGAGCACTCAGGTTTTCCTCAAAAATATGCGAAAACCATTTATTTAACAAGGAAAGATAAATCTTTTATATTTTTTTAATTTGAACATGAAAAGATTTATAGAAAAAATTTACTATTATTTTAAAGTTTGTGAATTTTTATACTTTTTATGCGGAAATACTTTTTTTTTGATAAATTTATGATGTAGCGCTCGTTTTTATATTGAGTAAAACAGCCGTGATATATACATACATACATACATACATATATATATATATATATATATATATATATATATATATATATATATATATATATATATATATATATATATATATATATATATATATATATATTTATACATATTTATATATTTATATATATTTATATATTTATTTATGTCAGTCCTCGGAATTAGGAAAAATAAGTTCAGCAATTTTTTGCCAACCTTAAACTATTAGGTTTCAGGTTGGAAAAAAAATTGTCACAAAGGTTTTACCGTAAAATATAAAATTAAGGTAGAAAATTTTTTGCTGTCCTCAAACAAATTTAGATCTTTCCAAAACACTTAATAAAACCCAATTCCAAAATCTGTTTGCCCTGTTAATTAGCCTAAAATAGCCAGACAGTTAGCCTTAAATATTCTTTAATAACTATATATATATTTATTTGTGTTATTTTTACAGGTTTAGTTAATATATCATTTTGGATGGTCTGGTGTTTTAAGGTATTTTGAATATTTTTTGATTAGCAAGTATGTGATTAAGTAGTGTAAATTTGAAAATTGTAAAGTAAAACAAATGTGCAAACAAATGCAACAGCATTGTAACAGAGCCTGGAATGACATTCATCACAGATTTTTTTTCAATTATTCTGATACGTTATTTTTTTCATTTTATATATATATATATATATATATATATATATATATATATATATATATATATATATATATATGATTTAAAAAGAAGTGAAATCTTATTTATATTATTTGTCTATTATAAGTCTTTTATGTTTTGTGTTATATTAAAGTGCACTATAATTATTAAAAAAATAAAAATTATGAGATCCTCTGTGGCCAATGTCATCATCTTCAACGTCAAGTAGTAGCAAACTGTTTACAAAGAGATTTCTTCCTCTGTAATGCATCATACCTGACTGGAACATCCTTCCAAACTCCATTGTATCTGTTGCGTCAGTTAATGCTTTTAAAAGCCAACTGGGCTTATTTTTTCCAAAACTTTTAATTAAAAACAAATTGACATTTATCATAGTGGGGCTTCGTTAGTTCCCCTGCTTGCAAATATTTAAGTATTTGCTATAAATTATATATAATAATATTATTATCATTATAACTCCAATAATACTTTTACTGTAACACAATAATCTTTCATTTAGCATTCTTATCGTTATTATGTTTGGAAATGTGTTTTAACAATGGTTGGAACTTTTTTATTTGCATCTTTAGAGGTAATTTAAATTTAATGTAAACATTAATGTTAATTTTTTGTTTAAGTTTACTTGTTAGATTTATTCTGCATTAAAATATTTGAATATAGTTTTTCAACAATTCTTCAAATAGTTTTTTATTCAATTATAATTATTAGAATACAGTTAAGAGATTTTTTAGTTATGGGATTTTCCACCAATATTTTATACCTTCGATGCACATTCTTTGTGGCATTTATCAACTGTGCCTCTTACTTATTTATGGTATAGGTAAGATTTTTTAGTTGTAATAATTTTATTTATTTATTTGAATATGTTAAAAAACTATGTTAGTGACACAAGAAACCATGTTAGGTGACACAAGTAATCATGTCAGGTGACACAAGTAACCATATTAGGTGACACAAGTAATCATATTAGGTTACAAAAGTAAATATAATTAGTGGCACAAGATCTTGGTAGTAACAATATTTTTTTGTATATTGAGTGGGATGCTTTTGTATATTGAGTTGGGTACTTCCAGAATTGTATGGTGGAAGCTCAAACCTCTTGATTACTAGTGTTCTACCACTAGATTTTTTCTACCACTAGATATTTACCACATAATCAACAAGCTGATTTAATTTTTAATTTTGAAAAAACTGATTTAGTTAATGAAGCTTATTTTTTTGATGAATGTGTATTTTTGGTTATGTGTTTTCACATTCCTGTATTGTTTTTTTGCGTATATAAAATTTTTAATTGATGAGTATATAAAACTTATTTTAATGAATTTAAAGGAAATCATCTTTTAAGTAACAATTGATATATTTTGTGATTAATTCAATATTATCACAAGAACATGTATTTAAAAACATACTGAACATGCAGTTAAAAAAAAGGAGTTAAAAAAAAAAAATGAAAAAGTTTAGTAAACACATTAAATACTACTTTATTTGTTTTTTGTGGCATGCTGTCTTAAAATTTTTTCAATTATTAGAATTGTATCATTATTCTAGATTTACTATTACATCTTTTAATTCATTAATCATATTTAGCTATTTTTAGGCTCACGAAACCCAAAACATTTAAAATTGGAAACCAATGCTTTCAGGACACAGCATCAACTTTCCATGGAAGCAACTTTACCCATAAATTTCTTTTGTATAAAATAATCTGCAACAGAAAATAAAATAAAGTAATGCAATAACTACCTAAAATTTGTCAAGTTTTCCAGTCTCATACTATTATTAAACTTCTGCCCCATACCATTGTATGGGGCAGAAGTCTTAAAGTACAATATTTTTTTCAAACCTCAGAAACTTTTCTATAGCAAACAAAATCTATTGCTTATAATTTGTATTTATAATTTATATTTATACAGAGCTATTTACAGTTACTTCGAGATGATTAATTTTAACCCTTTTTTTATAATAGCCCCATATCCCATATTTTATTTACATATTTGCCCCAAAAAAAATTGATTTTATTTAAATTATGGATCTGTCAATTAAATAGTTTTGCATTTTAAAGTGTCTGTTTCATGTTCATCTGCTAATGGATGCGCTTTAGATGCATTTTGTACAATCTTTTTTGAAGTTCAATTCCTTCTATTTGTTATCTCTTTTTATTTTGTTAATACTATTACGTTTATTTGGTCTTGAGTGTAGATATTTAGCCAAATGAAGTAGGCAATAATACGCTGACCTTTAACTGTTAGAGTTCATCAAAAAAAATTTGACACAAATGTCTTACCATTAAACATAAAAATAAGTTCAGAGATTTTTTGCCAACCTCAAAAACTTTTAACTTGGCAGTTAGATCGGCATTGTTGAATGCCGACCATAATTGCGAAAGGTGTATAATTAAATAAATCAACATGTTATGAAAGATTCCTTTTAACATGTACACATTTTCCCCAATGTTAAATTTCTTTTTTTTATTTGCTAGGGTTTTAAATTTTTCTATTAAACATTTTAGAGGTTTTGATGCAGATAGCCAAGTTACAATGGCTTTTCTTTTATTTATTTCGTAGATGAGTACTTTTAGACTTGCCAGGATAACATGCTTGTTTTAATAAAATAACATTTTATTAAAACACTTTCTTTACCAATATTTAACAAACAGCTCTGGCATCAGAAGAGCTGTTTGTTAAATATTGGTAAAGAAAGTGTTTTAATAAAATGTTATTTTAAGCAGATGTAATCTGCTTCAAGCTACTGTCTTAAAGAAGGCCTGCTAAACATAGACCTTAGGGGTAAGCAGACAATTTATGTTGACCAGCCTTGCATTTCTTTTTCAACTAATAAGCTGGCATATATATATACATATATATATATATATATATATATATATATATATATATATATATATATATATATATATATATATATATATATATATATATATATGTATGTATGTATATATATATATATATATATATATATATATATATATATATATATATATATATATATATATATATATATATATATATATATATATATATATATATATATATATATATATATATAAATGTGTGTTCTGTTGTTTAGATGCAATAAACAAATGTTCACTTGATGTGTTTAAACTTTGTACTTGTTGTAAAAGCCAGTTTTGCAGCAATATTTTCATTGTTTTAAAGTTCATCACTAAATAAATTTGTTTGACATTAAACAGGAAATTTCCCAAATGATGGCAAAATAAATTTGAAAAATTGTTCCGTAATGATATAATTATTAAAAAAACTTTTTTCTAGTTATATGACTGTTGTTTTCAAAAATCTTTGGGATTATGGAATACTTTTGGCTGGTCTTTTTGGTCTTTAGAAGTTTCTTAAGGAAGATTTTATATCAAGTTGATAAAAAATATCAAATTAATTTTTTCTCTTTTCATAGATAAGGTTGTTAAATTGAGTCTTAATTATTTCTTTATAAATTTTAAAAAAATGTTTGTAATAACTTTTCATCAGCTGAATCTTACCTCTTGGAAAGTTCACCAAACCTACTTGGTCTTTGTGACACTAATTTAAATTCCTTTTTATTTGGATTTTTGTGTTGACATCTATTATCTTTCTGATTTTAGTGCCCAGGCCAAGCATGAGACTCCAATAGTCACATGTCATATACTTACACATCAAGACATTGTCATATACTTACACATCAAGATATTTTCTGCAAAAATAATATAGAAAAAATATTTTTTTTGGCTATATTATTTACGGATTAATGGGGGGTTGGCAATAAGACTATTTTGTCTTCTTCTTGCTAATGCCATGTACATATTTTACAAATACGAGAGTTGTAATTGTTTTAAACAGCAAATTTATAATTAAAAAAAAAATTCATTTTTTTGTTGTGAAAGGGGTCGCCCATAATTTACTTCATGAAATTTTAGACAATTTTGATCCCCTCCACCTCCCCAAAATATGATCCCCTCCCCCTCCCCAAAGTATTTTAAATTTTTATTAAAAATTTAATAAAAAATATAAATAAAATTTAATGTTGCTCATGCTGCTGTTATTGAGTGCTTACTGAGTGTTTGAAATGGATAGCACAGTACCCATCAAAGCCAAGTTAATAACAAGAGTCACAATACTTTTTTTATAAGAAAATATGAATGAAAGTGCATACAAATGTCTAACTTATGTAAACTTCAAATTATTTAATGTTAAAAATTTTATAAAATTTTACAGTTGTATTTTTATTTAAAAATTGCATTGTCGTAATATCTCTTTAATTTTAATTTGTAGCACTTGTTTGCTGTTTTGTAAAGTCTTTTGTTATTAAATAATGTTAAAACTTTCTTCGAACATGCGCCTAAGTAGCCAAAGTTAGTTCACAGCATTTTGAAGAAATATGTTATTGTTCAAATCCTTGCGCTTCCACATTTAAAACTTTTTTTTTAATCTTTTTCTTTTTTTAAAATACAAAATAAAATGTTTTTGAAGATATTTTTATAAAGTTTTACTTTCATTTAAAAGTTGCATTGCAGCAAAATCTCCTTAATAATTGTTTAAAATCTCCTTAATAATTGTTTAAAATCTCCTTAATTTTGGTTTAAAACATTTATTTGCTGTTTTATAATTATTTTGTCTTTTGTTTGTTAAATAGTATGCCGAAATGGTTAGCTTGCTCCGCTTTGGTACAATGTGAGGGTTCAAATCTTGGGGCTTGTACATAAATTTTTATTTTTTAAATCTTTTCTAATTTTTTAAAATACAAAATGAAACATATTTAAGGTTCTATTTTTGTTATATAAATAACATATATAAAGATATTATATACTATGACAAACAAAAGAGAGTTTTTTAAAAAGCTTAAAATTTCTATAAACATCAAAACAGCGATAGAAACTTTTTGCGCATATTTCACGATAGACTTACTTAAGTTATTAATGTGCTTGATAATTAGTTGTCTGCGCGTTAAACACAAATTACGGAGACATTTTTTTTTCTTATACAAAAAAAGATTTTACATTCAAACTTGTATTTTCTTCAAAATTAAATAACAGGGTGAGAATCCTATTAGGCTGCAGATGGTCTGGAAAAAAGTTAAATAAAAGCCTTATAGAAACTTAATGAGGGAAAAAATTATCAAGTCTGTACACATTTTTTTTTTATAGAAGTATGCATTTTTACAATAAGAAGTTATAAAGTATTGAACTTTAATCATTAACTCAAAACAAAGATTTTATTTTCCTACTATTTTTTTATTGAAATAAAACAACTATATAAAGAATAAGTATAGAAAGGGTTGATGTAGAGTAGACTTACCATGACCCATACTATAGGGGTCATGGTAAGTTTATTATTCCATTATAATTCCAAATATTTTTAAACATTTTTGTATGGATTGTAATTATTCAATACATTTCAAGCGATTGTTCTTATTATTATTTAGAATACCGCTCATAAATAGCAGTTCACGCAATGAATTAAAAATTTTTTTAAAGTTTTTATGTTATAAATTATTTTTTTATTTATAACTTTAAAAGGTAGACAATATGTTATAGAAAATATAGTTTTTTTATCGCTTATGTTCTAAATTATTTTTTTATTTATAATTTTAAAAGGTAGACAATATGTTGTAGACAATATAGTTTTTCTAACGCTAAAAAATATTGAAGTAATGAATAAGTATAAAAATGGCCGGTGTAGAATGGACCAAGACCTGTTTTTTACATGTCTGGACAGCTCGTTTTAATTATTATTATTTAATATTACTTTGAAAGTAATTATTTGTACATGTGCACAAATAATGCCCACAGTAATAATATTATAAGAAGGCAAA